AACTACCAAATCCGATTTCAAGCTTGGTGAGCACGTAATATGAAACTGAACGTGATTTTTTTTTGAAGTGCAGGTATTTGCGAGTTTCCGAAATCATTTGCTCACATGGATCACTGAATTTTAAATTGAGACATTTAGAAATTGAGGCTCGGTGAGTGGTCCAGAACCTCGGAACGATTTCTGCGTCGTTGACGGAAATCGAATTTTCGGGTAACCATTGAAAAGGCCGTGCCATTGCGAGATTTCCCCTTCAGCCACATCTTTCTATCTTTTGAAAAGTAGAAAAAGCCGCAAACTTAATAATTGAATTAGCACTGGTTCACGTGTTTCATTGCTTACAACAGTTTCTTACCTCGTACCTGGCCAAGACGCCACCTCATCCGGTAGTATTAACGTAACTGGACAGCGATGGCGTCATACCGCTTGCAATAGCGCTGAACACTCGGTTCATTCAAGACTGTAGGGTTCTCAGCGCTCACCGGCGAATGGTCAGGTGTAACGATGGCGACGGTTTATCGGCATTCCTGCAGCAGTTGAAGTTGCATAGGACGTGGAACAAAGAACCAACCAGCGGCCTCGTTCTTTCTAGTCGACGATCTGCAATGCCTTGTTTTTTGCATTGTTTTTGCCGTCCTTTGGACGCGGTGCCGTTTTTGCCAGTGGCCGTAATTCTTGACAATAAAAGTTCATAATCGTGAAACCATAAATTTTTTCTTCCGATACCGCCTGAACAATGAGAACCGGCTAACGGCTTGCTGAGATGATCGATATCGGATTATTTCGATTATTACCGTTAGGATACGAAAGAACAGCGAAGCACAATGTGCATTGCGAAAAACCGTTCTCGAAATGCCCCGTGTACCGAATCAGATGAGCACAGCTTGCCGGCGAAATTACATCCCGACCTATGTGTGCCCACAACTAGCGGAACATTCACGGAAACCGTGTCGACAGCTTTTTGACCAGCGGACCAAAGTCGCTTTTTCTTTGCCACCCAGTAATTGAAATAAGACGTCAAAGATGGATTGCACGTTGACTTCACAAATACTTCCTGATTGACCGCTTTGTCCTCCGAATCACCCAAAACCTGCTTCCTCGCTAATGAACGGTTCACTGGCATTGACGTTCACTTAAACTCATCCAATATAGCAATGGCCTCATATTTTCACCCTGATATAGCTAGTTACTTGAGCAACGGGAGAGAACGAACAAGCGTCGTTCTTGGCATTTTTCAATTCGTTTTGTGTGAGGTTTTTCAAATCTTCCAATTTCTGTATCGATGTTTATTTTTGAATTCTCGCATCCTCAAGGGACCGCTCACCAAACTTAACTTAACAACCGCACTATGAAAATCTGTTTTCAGTCTACCTTGTTTATTTTCCCGTAGAGTTAGTTAAGTACTCCTTTGACTGCAGCTTGTAACATCTACATTAGGAGAAAAGCCTTCTTTGTTAACTCCTTCCATTCCATTTTTCAAATGGCAGATCCACGGTTTTCTTCATATTCGATTATTATTGCGTTAAGGTGATTTTTTATGTCATATATAATAATATTCCGCTGAATAAGTAGGACTTCTAGGTTGCAGTTGTGCATAGGGTCCAGATTTCGTATCCTTGAGTATACGAACTTTTAAACTTTTGTATATGCTGCAAAGTAATCTGTGCAAATATGCAAAAGGATAGCTTTCCTTCAGGTTTACAGCAGTCTTTCAGCACAGATGATTTTATGTTTTAACAAATCGAAATAATCTCTCAGTAAAGATCTACCTACGCCATGTTACTTTGAAAGTAGTTGTCACTGGGCTGATCAGAAACATACGTACAAAGTCATATCCCGGTAGGTACCGCTTGTAGACAGCATAATTCGGTGAAGTCAGCCAAACTAGAGTGGATGAAAGGGATATGTGCAATAATGTTCAGACGTAAGCTGAATAAAACATTTGAGATGCTCCATATTCAGCCACCATTGAAGAAAGGAAATGACAATGGCGCAACTCTTCCGAGTGGCCAGAAATTTTGCATGTCATGTTTTAGAAGCTTCATTATGTCAATCACAACATGAAAAATGACCAAAGTGGAGCGGTTAAGTTGAATCGACCTGCAGAGTCTGCGGAATGCTACGAACGGCGAAGACTTTAATCAGAAAAGGCAAGGTCTGCATTCAAATACAAGCATCAATCCTAGACATCGCTAAAGAAAGGAGACGGAAGTTCCTGTTGATAGATTACATAATGGACTGAAATTTGTGACGCTGATAGCGTCGATGACACGCAGTATGCGTGCATTGGAATTGCACTAAATGCTTCACACACAAAACCCCAGTTGATTTAAATGATTTGATAATCAATGCCAAAATGAAATAATGATCAACAAAACATAGAAGTGGAAAAGAAGAAAAAGGGGAGAGGTCGATTTAAAAACAACTGGATCATGGGCCTCAAGATTAAAAAGAAACCACGCAAAATTGTCTTCTTCATCCTCATCTTCCATCGCCGTTTCTCCTTTTGGGTCGCGGAGGCAGACGCGTCAGACAGTGCTTATACAGTGATATATATATATCAGAGTGAGACAAGGTTTAGAGAGGTCACTGACGCTTTGGACCTCTTGCGCAAGAATAATGCGAAGATGAAGCGACTTTGAAGTAACGGAGCATTATCACATTTGAAGCCATGAATGTTCAATAAGAAGAAGGTACGCTTAATAGTTGCTGAGGGCCGGATTGGAAACAAATTTTACTGGGAACCTTGCGTTCAAACCTAAGAGCTGTACTGTCAATTGCTGGATGGCATGACCTACTCTCTGACAATCGCAATTGCAGCAGCATGGTTTTGGAGATGGATCAATGGCATGTTTTATTTTATTTCGCACAGATTTAAGTGAATTTCCCGTTATGTATAATTTTTCACCCCTGGGCTGCAATGTTATTGGTTTCAAAACCGAGCTCTTCATAATATTTAATAGTCATTGGAAATAATGTACCAGCTAATGCTTTTATGTTCAAAAAACCATAAACATGCATCTGCTGGCCCTGGCTTGCATCCGAAGAGTCGAACTTGTCATCGACGTTCCACTTATTTATTCGATATTACAAAAGTTTTAACCCTTCTTTGGACAAAAGTAATTTTTTTCACTCTGCTTCTCCATTGTTAATTTTGCGTTTCATTGTGATTTGTTAGTTGTCCATTACTTACCTACTTTTGTTTCAGTCCTAGGTTCAGTAGAGTTAAAATACCAGAGTTGCTTAAGTGTTAGATAATCATATCTGATGCTGTTTTGTTAGAATTTTCCGTCCACTGCATGATTTATAACATGACCCCTCCTAAATCTTATTTTCGCCATCTCTGGTAAAAGGGTGATGATTAGTTCTTAAGACAACATACAGCTCATCCACTAGACCCCGGTAGGTTCAGCCATGCTGTGAAAGCTTGAGCAACATATCAGGTTAAGTCAAACAGGCAGTACTCACCAACTCATCTAGCCAGCGTGGTAAGACATGGCCAAATCCTCCAGATTCAGTCTCATCTGAAAGAATCTTCCTCATTCTCCGGAAGCTGAATTGCTGCAGATAAGACTGCAACTGGTCAGAAATGAAGGATACTGCGTTACGGATCACAGCTGCTTCGGCACACTAACGCAGAAAACGTATACCTGCTGATCACTGCTAAGCCAAGCAGGGCTGTAATAGCTGCAGTTTGAACTTATTAGGGTTAAGTGAGACATTGTAAGACTCAACGAAGGGAGACGAAAGAAAGAGTAGCTGTCAGTGCTTCGACAGTGGACAGCTCCTGTTCTACAGACAATTGCAAATGGAAAAACACGTAAAATTTGACTGATTATCCACAGAAGAATGAAGAATGGTGTAGTACAAGTGGACAGCACTTTAGAGAGATATGCCAGATTGGTCAATAAAGACTCAAAGAAATGCGAACTTCTGGTGATCGACATCTATGCGCCGACGTCAAGCCATCCTAATGAAGAGATTGAAAACTTTTACGAAGAAACAGAACAATTTCATGAATATATAAAAAGCCGTTATAAGCTCATTATGAGTGGTTTCAACGTTAAAATGAAATAGTGACAACGAAGCGAATGCCTTGCGGGTCGATTTGGATACAACAGAAAGAACGAAAAGGTTGGCCGAATAGTTTTTTAGAAATAACAAGTTTTATTATTAACATCTTGCAAAAAATACAAGCAAAAAATGGATGTGAATGAAACGACTTCAAGAGTAAACTCGATTTCATCCTCATTAAGGGCACAATGCAGAACGTCGTGGTGCTGCGTAGGCGTAACGCAGGCAGCGACCACAAGCTTGTCAAGCGGAACATGCGCCCTGATTCAGTCTTAGAAAGAAAGAAACTGCTGAAGACGAGAAGCAAGATGTTACACTTGGACACAATAAAAAATTGCCTAACACTGTTCAAATTATACTGATTAGACATTCTTCACGATATGTAAGAAGAAGAAGATGGAAAAGCAGCGGAAATTAATGTAACGTACCAGGAAATAATCAAGGCAGTTGCAGAAAAAATGGAATGCATCCCTTCAACAAGGGAGATGAAGGTCAAAAAGTCAAAAGCCACAAAAGGAAAAATCTCACTTCATTCGTGAAGAAACTGACGGAAATAAAAACAGTAACAGACCAGGAGTCGAAAGACGGATATGTGGGACTGTACCAAAACGTTAAAGGAAACGGAGAAGGATATCTTGACATTCAGTTGCAGATTGGTAAAGGAAACTACTGTAAACAGCCAAAGCATAGAGAGGTTAGATCAAAGAATCACGATTGGGAAATGACAAGTCTTAGCTCTCAAAGCAGAAGAGGGAACTGTCTACAGAAACACATTGGCGATTTTAAAGAGAATGGAAGATTTCTAGAGAAAAATGTACAAAGATGAAGACAGTAACAACTGGGTGATGATAAGAGGCTCTATAATACAAATTCAGTTAAAAAACTTCATGATATCTTGCCTGAAAAAACGAAACATGCAATAAACCAATTGAGGTCAGTAAGAGCTCCTGGCAAAGGTTGTATTACATTGGATCACGAGGCGAATCATGGCTAAAAAATATTAGGGCGCTTCATTTCAAGGCATTTGAAAGAACTGAAAATTCCAGATGACTGAACCACCGCATCGGTTATTCTAATCTACAAAAATGGAGACAAAATTAATTTTAAAAACTAAAGACCTATCAATTTATTTCCAGTTATCAGCAAGATCTTCATGAAGGTAAAAAACGATTTAGGAATAGATTTAGTACGACGAATCATCTTCAGGTAGGACAGCAAGTAGTTCAAATTACCAGCAAATATAAGCTTCTTCTTTGCCTGGGGTTAATCGATTTTGAGAAGACTTTCGACTCAGTTTTCACCAGATCCTTATTAGACTCACCGAGGAGGAGGAAAGAAAAAATAAATTCAGAGATCTAAGAGCTACGATTTACAAGAATGCAACTGCTATTGTGAAAAAGAATGCCCAAACAAATTCTAGACAGAAACAGAATGACGGAATATCATCGAAGTCATTTACGGCAGCCCTAGAAGAGGTTTTCAAGTCACTCCCCTGCGAAAATCATGGCTGAAGTTGAATGGGCGCTACTAAAGCTACCTGCAACTTACCTATGACATTCTAATGCTGTGAAGTTCATCTGAAGAACTTCAAAGGTAAATGCAACAGTTTTTAAGGCCAGCCTCAAAGTAGGATTGAAGATTGACCATAGAAGGCTCAGATAACTCAGGTTATGTTTAACTAATATGTGACCTTCTGGTCTGTTAAAACCGATGAACTTAGACCTGTGGCGACGAAAAACGTCGTCCTTGGGACAGATAATTATTGTCATGGGGAACTGATTCTGAGAAACCAAACGAATGGTGAGTGGCATTCAGCACTGTTAGAAGATTAAAAATATTGTCATCTGCGAAACTTCTCTGCATTTGAAACGAAAAGTTTTCGATCTGTGTGTGCTTTCAGTGCTAAATTATGAACGCTCATTAAGTCAGAAAGTTATGTATAACTGCAGGATGACAAGGCGCATGTTGGAAATAACAAAAAGAAGTGGGACGACAGAGAAAGTGGTAAGAGCACAAACAGGAGTTCTGCAATGTCATAACATTTGCGAAGAAGTTGAAATGGCAATGAGCAGGGTACGCTGCAATAGTAGCCGATCATGACTGGAAAACAAAGAGAAGTTAGAATGAAAGCGCTGGAAAGGTTTCAGTGGATCAAGATGGACAAGAATTACAGAAAGCAGACGTTTTGGACAATATATAAAATTGGCCTTCATGAACTGAACAAGACTGATGATGGTGACACAGATGTACATATACAGGCTATACAGTACTCCACACAACGAATACTGATATCTTGCTGTGAATAACGTCAGTCGTTTATCGGTTGTTAGTTGTGCATGCAATTTGTACCATTTATTAACTGCTTTAGCTGCGAAACGTGTTTGACGCTTCCGTTCAGTCGGCAGCAAGACTTCATAGAGGCGAAAGAGTTCATCCATCGATTATTTAGTGTTCATGGCAATCGCTTAACTCAAGCGATTCGCCTCGACAGATATTGTGCTGCTAACTGATACGTGACAAGTTTCATTGCCTTATTAAATCGAGACGAAGGAGATTAACTCTGAAGGTCCGTCCGAAGGAGTTCACGCGCGGCAACGACGAGGGTGGCGGCGACACTCGATACGACGTGATGGCGAATGCGAAAAAATTTTTCGGCCAATATTCGTCTTAGGCGCAGAAACGACCTTCCACCTCGCGTCTTCCGCCTTTCGCCAGCGACAGCCGCTCGTCTATCTTCGATCGTCAACCTTGGGTATCGCTCACATTTCATTAGAGACGTGGCTCATTTTTTCAACTTTATTGGCCGTATCTTGACAGAAACAAGCGTTTAAATGATTTTACATGACCCATTTTTTCACCAGCACACGAAGAGTTAAACTTACACAGATTTTATCATATTCTGTGTCATAAAAATGAAACTTCGTCAAAATACAAATTTCTGGCCCAGGTTTCGTCAGCGACAAATTGAAAAACCTGATTTTTGGCGGCCGCCGCTGGGACGACAATGGCGGTGGCCGAGGGACGTTTCTTCACTAATCATGATTTACCCTGGAAAATGCGTGATAGCCGGCAAACTTCATACGTACCACAGACTTAATTTTCTTTAACAGTGCGGACTTCGGTTACGTTATTTTAAGATTACTGTAGAAATATTGAGCGTCACCACGCGTACGAGATACTGTAGTGAAACACGTGGTGGATCAGTCGCAGCCGATAGCACGATTCGATTATTGTCGACTGTCGGCGAACACACATGATAATGAAACTCAATCAACACGTACTTGGCTGACGGTTCTGCGTCCGCTGATTTCAGCGAACTTACTCTACCAGATAGAGGTAGACGATAGAGCGTTGAGCAAGCCGGTGCATAGTCAGTACGTAAAAGCTGGGTCAGCGATAAGGCGTCGGCTTTCGCGTGATCACTGCAGTGCTATTGTTCAGTGGGCGTAATAACCCGTAAGAGGTGTAATTATTAACAAAGATGAAATCAGGTGGCGTCCTCGATGATAAAATTTGCGCACCCTCTGTCCAAGCCGATCATTAGCAGCTTCGAGTCCATAAATAAAACGTAACGTTAATAAATCAACCTAGAACTGACCAATTTGT